GATGATGTCAACAATGTTTTGTTTTAGTAATAGTTAATAGATTTATTTATTTATTATAATGAATTGCCTCATATTTATATTATATCACAATATTATTAAAAAATATTATTACTACCATGCATTGCACGGTCACTAATCTAGTATTACCCCCAATCCAAACATGTCCAGGTAAGATGATGTTATAAACCCTGCTTAATCAGTACCTCTCATAGGTAATGTCAACTCCGTAGGTCAATGCTTAAGACTAGATGGAAAATGTAGCAAAATCCTCTACTCCAAAGTAATTATATTTGGTGGGGTTTGCACTTGTAATTTCAAAGTTACATAGTGAGTTCCTCCACCAACTCCACGAGCATTTTGGTTAATTGGATTAGCAACATTAGAATGAGCTTGCAAACACTTTAACCTAGCTACTCTAACTCAATATTTATGTACTATGTAGTAAATAAAGTAATTTATTGGTAAAAATTGCATTAAAGTAGTTAAATTCATATTTCATCCGAATTAGATGACATATTTCTTTTATCACGTTTGTCAATGCAAAAATTCAATCGAAAAAAATCTTTAAATATACTATTGTAAAAAAAATTCGTAAATGACTAAGGTTTTTTTATTTCTCTAAATCATAAAAGTTAGTCAAAACAAAGTTTATGAATAGTGTCAAAAGTCATAACGTGTCATCCAATATAATTTGGAACGGAGGAAGTATAACCTTTACCTTTTAAAAAGTTTAAAAAATTCAATTCGTATGAATAGTGCATGGAAATTTATATCCTTAAAATGATCTTTTAAATATTAACCCCCGTTTATTTTCAAAAGCCTTAAAAGTGTCTCTTAAATCCCCTAAATTGATTACTTTTAATATTAATTTTAAAGCCATCTTTTACTCTCTCCATTTCTTTTTGTTTTTTCCTAAGAATTTAAACACTGTAATAAAAGAGACTCTAATTAAATTTAATACATATAGAGTACAAGAATTACGGAGTATGTAATTGTTTGATATTTAATTTTTAATTAGTCTCAATAAGTGCTTACAATTTATTAGACAATTATATTTCTCTAGAATTCGATATTGTATTTACCGCTCCCTCACTAAATTAAAGTAGCTCTACTAAAGTTTCGAACATTGCACAGCTACACAACATCCAACACATTTATCGCCTATATGCAAATAGTTATAATAACATACGAGTATCATACAAACAAGCATAGGGCATAAAGGCAAAAATTAATATTGTTCTCAAAGGGGTAGTCATACCACGAGCGAGTTGAAAGCCAAAATATAATAATAATCCCTTCGTTTTTTGTTACTTGTTCCATTTCTCAAAACATGGACTTTTAAAAGAAATTTTAAAAAGTACGGAGTATCACCACTAGAATCAGGTCGAATTCCGATGGAAAGGTTCCGACGGACACCTAATTCCGTCGGAAAATCAGAAATTTCCAACGGACTTAAAATTTCGTCGGATGTTTCCGACGAATTCAAAAATTTTGTCAAAAATTTCTGACGGAAAATTATTCCGTTGAAATATATGTACTTTACGACGGAAAATTCTGTCGGAAATTGAAATTTCCGACGGAATTTCCGTCGAACACAATTAAAAATAACTTTTTAACAAAACCTTAAAAGACAATATAAACCCACGTTCTTCCATTCCTCCCCTTCTTTTTTTTCCCCTTTCTCTCTCAGTCGTTCTCCTTCTCTCTCCTCTTTGTTCTTCTCGTTTTGTTCTCATCTTTTCTTCCTTTCTCTCTTCTTCTTCTCTATCTCTTCCTTTCTTTCTTCTTTTAACCACTATCGACAAAAGTGACCTCCGAAACTGAACCAAAACCGACATCAACAACAACCACCAAAAACAAAACCATATAACCACCAGTTCGGATTTTCAAATTAAGGCAAAACAGACTTTTTTCTTACTTTCTCTCATTTCCCATGCTTAAAACGAAGGTTTTTAGGTCAAATTCGGCTATGAAACTCTAGATCTAGAGTTTTCATGGTCGAATTTGGCGTCGTAAACCAATTTCAAGGTTTTGTGTGGTTTAATTAAGGTATGTATCTCTTTTTAATTTAATTTTGATTTTGTTTTGTTGTTTTTTTTGGATCTAGAGGTTTATTATTTAATTGTTGGTTGAAAATTTATGGTGGTGGCGGCTGGTGTTGGTGGGTGGCGACTTTTAGAGTTCGAATTTTAGGTTGGGGGTGGCGAGGTGGTTGGTAGATCTAGGTTATGTTCGAATTTTTTGGATTTTTTTTCTGGTTTGGATGTGTCTGGTGAGGGTTTGGGCTGGTAGTGTGAGGTGGGTGCTGGTGGTGTATTGTGATGGCTGGTGGTGGTGGTTTATGGGTTTTTATGGGTGTTGAGATGGGTTAGTTTGTTTTGTTGTTTACAGGTTAGGTGGGCTTGTTGGGGTTAGTGTGTTTACGGGTTTGGTTTTGGTGGTTGAGTAGTGGGTGGTATTGGGCGTCTGATGGGGTGGTGGTAGGTGGGCTGGTAGGGGTGTGTGGGGTGGTTTTTTTTTTTTTTAAAAAAAAGCATTTTCCGTCGGAAATTTCCGATGAATTTGTATGCCGTCGGTATTTTTCGAGGGACTTTTTCGCGCCGGAATATCTCTTCCGATGCATGATTTCCGACGGAAATTCTGTTAGAAAAGACCGCTTTTCCTACAAACGATTTTCCGATGATAGTTTCCGACGAGATTCCGTCAAAAAATGCCTTTTTTCTAGTAGTGTATTATTTTATGATGGAAATGGGGTTTGTTAAAGAATAAAAAAAATATGAAAAAGCAAAAGTGAGTATAAGTGGGGGAAAAAAAGAATAAGAAAAATATCATATGAGGGGACAACTAGTGGAAGAGGAAAAGAGTACCCATCCATATTTTATTACTTGCTCTATTTTGTTTTTGAAAACCTTTCACACATATTGCTTTTATCTATGAAGAATCGTTTTCCAAAAGTAATGGTTACAAAAATCGATATTGCTTTGGAAAAATACACTTTAATAATCCCAACTATTGACAATTTACCTACAATAGTCCCAACTAACGTTTATTTTCTATTAATCCTAACTATTAACCCAATTTTCCTCTACCAGTCCCAACCGGTCATTAACCTAATATAACAGGTTGCTTTGAACCGTGGCGTAACGTGAGTGGTTAAAAAAAAAAACTAAAAGAGTGAGAAAGAGGCACGAGCTGTGGTAGTTTTGTGGGTAGCACTGGTGGTCGTGATCAACAAAGTGGGCTGCGGTTGGTTGGAGATGGCAAGTGATCAAGGCGATGGTGACGACGGTAGAGCAACGATGTTGGGCAAAGAAAAAGGGTAGAGCTGCCATGGCCTAGAGTTTCATGGTGGGTGTAAGGTGACTGAAGGCAGGAGGGGGTGGCTAAGATGATTTTAATTATTTTTTCTTTTCTTTTATTTTTTAAAAAATACACCTATCATGTGTTGACATGTGACCTTTTAAAAAAAGTTTACCCTTTTAACAGGTAATCGGTTTTTAGGTCTATTGGAGGCAAAGTCAGGTGATAATTAGGATTCTTAGAAAATAAATGTTAGTTGGGACTATTGTAGGTAAATCGCCAATAGTTGGAACTATTAAAGTGTATTGTTTCTCCTATCGCTTTTTGTTCCTGCTGAATTCTGCTTCCGTTAATGTCCGAGGGCTGGCAATGGTTTACCGTCCAATTGCTCACATACACAGCCAATACAGATTAACTAGCCCGGGGGTTATCCGGGAATAACCACTCCGATGCTAAAGTCAGTACCTTTGTGAGAAGAAAGTGAAAGAAGAGAGAGAAAGTGTTTTAGAGAGAGAGAGAGATTCTACCTTTGAAATGGGGATTTGCTTGGGTATTTATAGAAACACAATCAAGCAGGTGCAGGTGGCACATCGAACTTGTAAATAGCAGGTGCCTACGCGGCACCAAGCAACTCTCCATGTGCCAGAGGGACATGCCACGTTCCGAGAAGCAGCTCTCCACGTGGCAGAGACTGATGTCGGTAAGGACATGGTTAATTCAATAATTAACGAGGGCTTAAACTGCACAACACTCTTTTACCGGCTTATGATTGAAGCTACCGGTATATCCCGTACAACTAGTCCCCCAAGTGAGGACGTTAGTAAAACTAACGTGCTCACTTGTGATGGAATACGGTGCTGGTATGCATAATATATACCATACAAGAATGATGAGAAAATGAAAAAATCTACGATTTGCCCCCCAAGTGAGCAAATTGCCGATAGGAGTTTGCTCAATTTAAGACGAATACCGAAAATAGGAGTGAATACGATTTCACACTTATTTGAAATTTTTCCCCAGGATTTGGCGGGAAAATGTAATAAAGTAATGGGGCACGTGTCAGTCATCAAAGTAAGGTGTTTTTGAAAAGGTGTTTTATTACAGCCGTTGGATTGCATGCAGTAAGTGTCACATCAATCGCTTTATTTGGACAATATAAATAGCAAATTTCGTACTTTTAACCCTTCATCTTCTTTGGGAAAAAATTTCGAAAAATTTCCACTTCACTGCGCTCGTATTTCGCACATATTTCTGCGATTCAGGAGTCGAATTGTCGAAGGTTTGTTCAGCTGCGTTGTGACCAGTGTTTGTAAACGGAGGACATTTAATTCCGGAGTTACGCTTTCAAGAGTTGAGTTCAAAAGAGGTAACAAACCCTAACTTTCTTTTCGATTTCTCACTGGTTTGTGGTTAAGTAGATATTGCGTTTATTTCATTATTTGTGAATGTCTGGGTCTGGAATGCATGCAAATACGGGTAAAGCCAATGAGGCTGAACTCTGTACACCCTTAACTTCTGTAGAAGAAAGAGAAGCTTAGTACCGTCATAAGTTTCTGGCTGACGCCGAGAAGGCTTTGCGTCCTACCAACCCCGATATCCCAGAGGACACAGAGATTGCCGACGTTGAGCCTATTAGCGTTCAATATCATTTGAGATCAAACTTGGATTTGTTTAATCAATACGGCACTAATATTGACAGGATGCCGAGAACGAAACAGACCAGTTACCAACGTGAGGTTGGTGAGAGCAGTAGACGCTCTGTTGAGGAAGAAGATGTTGACCCTGGGCATGAAGCTTCGGATATCAGAGAAGAAGATATCCGGTCAGTTGAGGATAGCCTAGAACGGCAAGAAAGTAGGGGTGAAAGCATCGGTAATGAAGATGATGTAGAGGGATCGGAAAAGCTTGGGGAAGGGGAAGATGATGAAGAAGAAGACGACGAGACCGACGAGGAAATTCGGGCAGACTTCAATCTTGCTGCTCAAATCGCAGAAGAAGAGCGTCTCGACGAGGAATATGATTCAGATCAGGATGATCCGAAATACCTAGAACCCCAAGAATCCCTAACAGTTATGAAATAAATGAGTGTGTTGTGGATCCGGTATGGTTGCAGACAGCCACCGAGAAATACTACTGCCAGCATGGTAAACGCTTCTACCGTCTACATGACGGCTAAGAACTCAGATTACCAAGTGAAGGTCAAACGACCTTGAACTGCCCTCCCGGCCACATTGTTGTCTATGCCAAACATTTTGAATTTGGTTTACGTTTTCCACTTCATCACTACATTGAAAAAATATTCGGGGCTTGGAACGTATCAATTGCACAGTTAACGCCTCCAACCATCCAAAATATAATCTCTCTTGTCTGGGTTATGATATTTATGGACTTTCCCCTTACCTTGAACCTATTTCGGAGGTTGCACTGGATAAAGAGAGATAGCCAGTCAACCGGATGGTGGTCTCTGTTTAATGCTCCCGGGAAATGCACTGTGTGGCCAAAGTTGACCAGTTGCAAGAACTGGAAGACAAAATTTTATTTTATAAGTGTTCCCGAAGATTTTACCGTCCATAGGACATTTCACCACCCTCACAGTATGTTCGAGACCATACGGTCGAGAGCATTAGGAAAGCTGGAGAAAAAAGCTTTTAGGTGGTTTAACTGTACATATGTTAGTGCTGGTAAGAAGAATAAAGTTGTTCCGGGGGTGTGGCTGCCCCATTGTAATTATATACTAGGCAACGCCCCTCTATCTCATGTCGGTCTCTGCCATACCGATGCATTTGGTATGGAAATGTTTATAAATTATATACATTTATTTATATTTATCTTTATTGTACTTGCACTTTGCATTTGGAAATAATTTTGATAAGTGTTTTGCCTGCTTATTCTCTTACGTGCCTGCGTATATTTTACTTATACCTGTTTTCTTTTTTCTTTTTTATTTAACGCTTAAGTTTTTGATGTTTATTATCGGGTGTTTTTACCGCCAGGTATTGACAAACTCGACTACAGCTGACTAGGGTTGCATTCTGACGGGAGAGTGAAGCAACAGTGCCCAGATCGGCCAAAGAAGTCATACGACACTCTTCCCGTTTTCGCCACCAGAGCCTCGAAAAGAAAGAGAACGAGACAACAAGATATGGCTCCTACCGAACGTGTTACCAAACCTCGTACCCTAGCTGTGAAAAGGGGCGGAGGGAATGCGTCTAATAGGACGTCTGAGTCCTCCGACCGAGAGCAACAGAAAAAGCAGAAAAAGCAAGATGACGATGCGGCACCCTTCCATAAGGAGGCACAAGAGACCTGTTCGGAAGGGGTCGTTAATTTGGAGGACGAGACCGATCCCCATCCGCCGAAAAAGCTGACAGTCACCCTAAGGGACCCAACTGCTCCTGGGGCCGGCAGTAGCGGGGCCAGAATCGACCAACTGGTAAACATCGAAAAGCCTCCGAGCAAGGAGACTCAAACGGTCCTCTCGACGCACTCTGGCGGTCCGAGCAAAAATGCTTTCGTCCCGGCTCTTGTCGGTGACTTCATCGAGATTCCGCATGTCAGAATCCTGGAAGAAGTTGCTGACGAGTTGGCTGTACCTTTTGGTGCTGCCGGTGACCCATGGCATCCCTGGATCAACGTTAATCGCGGGGAGTCTGTTCTCTGTGAAGACCCTAGAACCGGCGGGAGCATGGGGTGGAGGGTGCTCAAAGACTTGGCGACGCCAGCCGACAGGCCTGCCAATCGCGTTGCTGCTCCTTGCGGTCAGCTGATGAACAACATGCTCCGGGTAAGACAACATTCTTACCTGTAACATTATTTTTGTAGATATGTATTTATTTTTATTTTTTATTACTATTATATATATACATTATTATTTTTATTTTTATTTTTTTTTAATTTTTTTTTACTAACGACAAAATTGATATTATCACTAGACCGTCAACTCTGCTGCTGAGGTGGTACACATGTACCAGCATTATCAGCGCGTTGCTGATAAAGCCGAGACAAAGCTGAAGAAGGTTGATGACGCCTGTAAGCTTGTCATCAAGGAGCGCGATAAGGTTAAGTCTGACATGAAGACCTTGCAAAAGCAAGTGTCTGATCTGAACAAGAAGCTGACAGACCAGGAGCAGCTGCAAAAGAAGGTAGCCAGCCTCGAGCAGAGTCTGAAGGACGAGAGGGAGGCTAAGGTGAAGCTGGCTAGTAAAGTTGAGGAAATGGAGCGTGATAAGCCGGGAATCAGGCGCCGAGCCGTTAATTGGTTCCTGCAGACCGACCTTTATGCCAACTTGCTGGTTGACCGGTACACTGCCGGTTGGGTCTCCGCGCATCGTTGTGTGTGCAAAGCTGAAGGGTGGGACTCGGCAAAATGGCAGGCCGTCGAGAAGGCTTTTAATGAAGAAATGAACCACTCTCCTACCAGCTACGAGAGCGAATATTTTGACGAGCTCCCACCACATTCTGTGATAACAAACTTAGACCCACGTGAACTGCTAGAAGTGGAGTTTGATGACGCCCTTATTAGTAGCCCTGTTACCACTCATGTTGGTTAAGATGGGTCTGTCGGTCCTTCCAACAATGAAGCTGTCAAAGAGCCCATTAAGGAGGCTGAAACAACAAGGGAGGCCAACAAGAATTGACAAGGAGGGCAGTCATCATTGGGTTTATTTTGGCCATCTATCCTGTAATCGGTTTTTGTATTTAAAACAATTATATTTGTCTGTATCGTACAATATTTTTCTTTTAATGTTGGATACATTATCTTTGTCTGTCTGTACTCAAAACAATTATCTCTGAGCAATTCAGTTTATTTGTTTCTTTACCATAATTCTTGCTATCGTGCGTTTCCTGTTTATACTTTGGTCGTTATTTACTTTTTATCTAACAGTTGATGCTTGTATATCTTGAATCGTTTTTTAATCATTTTCTCGGTTTTTAATATGACTTCTCGGCTTTTAACACAAATTTTTACTCTATTTTCGGTATTTTCAAGTTACCCATTACCTATACTCCCCGAGTGTTTCGGCAAAATTTATTCGTAAATAAAAGTTGGGAAAACTCTGTAATGCCTGTAATTAATTACTGGATGTGAAGCATACCGAGATTACATATCCAACCTTTGTCAGGCCGAGCAAAGGCAGTGGATCAGACCGCACTTTCAACTCCCCTTGAGGTCCATTATTATTTCATTTCATTCTTTTTCCTCACTTGAACGACCGAGTCAGCTAGCTAGGCTGTGATCAGATCGTATCGAAAGTAGGTAGAGTGATTGCATTTCATGGGTACTAAAACAGTTTACAATGCTGGTAAATACCATAAACATACGTATGACAACATGACATCTAAATTTATACTACACAAAATAGAACACATTAAACTTTACATGAAATACTTCTTTAACACACTAGCGTTCCAAACATTCTTCAGGGGAATTCCTTCTAGGGTCATTAGCCGATAAGACCCTTGCCGAAGTGTTTCATATATTTGGTAAGGCCCCTCCCAGGTTGCTGTAAATTTACCCTCTGCGTTCCCTTTGCCGGTTGCGGCCGTTCTACGCAAAACTAAATCACCATCTTCCATGGGCCGATAATTGACGCGCCGATTATAAGCATGGCTCATCCGGTTTTTGTATGCAGCAGATTTTATGGCTGCCGTCAGCCTCACTTCCTGTAGAAAATTCAATTGTTGTTGAAGCAACAAATCATTTTGACTTTCGCAGAAGTGTTGTATCCGGAAAGTAGGTAGTCTCACTTCCGCCAGAACCGCTTCTTCTTAGCCGAAAGCAAGGTTAAAAGGTGATTCCCCCGTAGTTTCTCTTGTTGTCGTACGGTTCACCCACAAAATCTCAGGTATCAGATCCGCCCACAAGCCTTTGGCGTCTTCTACTTTTTTCTTAACTGCCCCCAGTATCTGCTTGTTAGCGGCCTCAACTTGGCCGTTTGACTGCTGGTGACATATCGCCGCATACGCAAACTTCACTTTGTATATGCTTAGAAATTTCTTTACCGGGCTACAATCAAATTGTGAGCCGTGATCAAACACCATTGCAGTCGGCAATCCAAACCGTGTAAAGATGCTCTTCCAGATGAATTTTTTTATTTCTTTCGCTGTAATCTTTGCTACCGGTTCCGCTTCTATCCACTTGGTGAAGTAGTCTATCCCTTCAATAAAAAATTTACGGCCACCCGTTGCCGATGTAAATGGCCCGATAATGTCCATTCCCCACTGAGCAAACGAAATTGGGTTAAGAATAGGTGTTAAATCATTTGGAGGTTGATTAATCACCGGCCTATATTTCTGGCATTTATCACATTTTTTAACGTACTCCATGGTGTCTGCATTCATTGTCGGCCAATAGTAGCCCCGTTTCATTGCCTCCAAGGACATTGACCGACCCCCCGCATGATTACCGCAATCACCCTCGTGTATTTCTTCAATCAGCCTTGCCGATTCATACGCTGTTATACATCTTCGCAACGGTAGCGAAAACCCCCGTTTATACAACGTGCCCTGAAACATAATAAACCAGACGCTGTCTTTTTTTATCTTTCTTGCCTCCATCTTATCGGCAGGAAGGACGTTATGTACTTTGTAAGCTAAGATTTCGTCATACCATTCTCGACCTTCACTTGTACAATATACATCCTTAGGAGGCTGCTCATCAATACTCCTTTCTTTCAAAATTTCTACCATCACTGTCCTCTCTAAATCGTTAAAGCTTGAACTTGCAAGTTTAGCCAATGCGTCTGCCTGCGTGTTCATCGCTCGAAGAACCAATTATATGTCGAAATACTCTAGATTAGATGTAACACTCTTGAGTTTTGCCAGATATGCCGTCATGCTCGGCTCTCGAGTTTCGTAAGTGCCATTGAACTGATTTGTTACCAGTTGTGAGTCAGTTGTCATCTCAATACGTTTTGCTTCCAAGGATATGCATAATTGTATCCCTGCTAAGGCTGCTTCATATTCTGCCTCATTATTCGAGGCTTTAAATTTGAACTTGATAGCATACTCGAACACATCTCCCTGGGGAGAGACCATAATTACTCCAGCCCCTGAGCCGGTTGAAGCAGACGAGCTATCA